GAGAGCACTGAGAATCGAAACGAATCGAATCACATTGCATTGCATCAAATCAAATCAAATTTAATTGAAATGCCATGCAAAAATATTTTGAGAGCAGAGACGAAAATTGATTGATTTTTGGCTAGCCATCGAAAAGTCCGATTTAAATGCCACGCCTCCAGCTTCCCCGTTTCCTCTTTTCCCCCTCCAATTTCCCTGCGGCCAGCACTCATTGATATAATTACAAAGTTTTGTTGGCCAGTTGATGAGCCAGTTGGAAAACATAATCAAGAATGCGATTTTGCCTTTCTCCATCTCGCTTCCGCAGCCGAAAAAGTTTTAATTTCAAATGAAGTTTGAACAGGGGCGTGGGCACTGGGCTGGGGGGGGGGGAATGGGCAATAAAATAATCAAAGCGTGCACAAAAGTGCAACGAGAATTGCCGAAAAACTGGTAACAAAAGTAAGCAAAATGAAGAAGAAAGGCAGAAAGAAAACGGGGTGGCGATGCCATCATCCAAGTAGTGGAAAAAGCCAAAAGGCATTGGCCAAAAAGAAAGGGTACTAGTATGTTGGCATTAAAGATGTTTTGATTAATATATGGTGTAGTTTAAAAAGGACATGGTCGTAATACTATATATTTTGGTTTTAGATGACCAACAGATTCGTTACCACAGACGATGTTAACTTTTTATTGCCTACTTTTAGGCTGAGTTTATCTTCCAGTCATATCTGTGGAATTCTTGTTGCTTTTTTCATATTTAATTACATATTTTGAGAAAGCACTTCTGTATCTATTATAATTAGTACAAGCATATACCCTTATTCACATCTTACAGGGTATTTGGGCAATCGAAAAAGGGTTTGCCCAGCTGCGGGCCAGTGCAAATTTACCTGAAGACAAGGAAAAACGTGGCCGGCAGATTGCAGTGGGTGGGGGCGGACAAACTTAACGGGAAATCTAGTCGAAAAATGGGCAAAGTTGTCAAGCGGAAGCGGGCGCCCAAAAATGCCAATGCCGTTAGTCCAACCGTAATGAGAGTCAGCCAGAAAGAGACACTAAGACGGCGGAGGGACTGGGACAGCTATTATGCGCCATTAGGGCATAATTAAAATGCTCCAAGCAGCAGAATCAACAACAACAACAACAACGGCAAGAACAACAGCAAGAACAACAACAAGTGCAGCCAAGACGCTGATAATGACAACACGCTGAAAGAGAAGTACATATCAGGTGGAAAAGGGAAATGTTGCAGGCGAGAGCGGTGCGTGGAGAGTGGAAAGGCGGCGACAAAGTTGCCAAGGCAAACAGAAATCGGCCACAAAGGAATGGCCCAAAAGAAAGGGGCGCTAGAAAACAGTGGCGGATCAGCATAGATTTTTGGGGTTACAAGTGCCAAAAGCGACTTAAAATTTGTATAAGAACTTTTTTTGAAAGTTTCTTAAAATTTTTAAATATGCTTTTATTCTGATGTCAAAAAGTTTAATCAGATTTTAAGGAAGTGATATATCCATTAATGGTGTTAAGTCGTTGGCTATACAAAAATACGAATTTTAAGAAATTTTGACCAAAAGTAATGAAAGTTCCAATTTACTTTCGAAACCCTTCCTGATTTATCCTTAACAGCAGCAAGGCAGTCGGCCAAAAAGAGCGGGCGAGATAAGGCCAAAGCTAAGAAGAACAGTTACAGATATCCCACTCAAGATTTTGTGCTCTTCTTTTGGGGAGTTTACTGTATTTGCCAAGCTGAAACTAGAATGTTTAATTCTTAACATAACTTTGGCTTTTACTTTTTGAAATAAAACCAAAACTTAGAAAAAAATTGTAATAAAACATAATGTAAAATCATGAAAATAAAGTGAAAGTTAGTGATTAAGATCAGAATCTTAACTTCATATTAATTTATTCCCTGTATAGTAACTTCCTTTAATATTAAAAATAGACTTTGACCGATGCTATTAGCTTGATGGCAGCTGTATGCAACCATTGGCTGTCCATTTGGTTTGGAATTGGCAATAAGGACTGCAAAAAGGACTTCACAGCTTCCCTTAGATATGCACACTCTCTGCCCCCTTGGTCCTCTCGGTTCTGCTCCCTTTTTTTTATGCACATACCCTTTATCAATCTGTGCAATGAATTTTGGCAATTAAGCAATCACTTCGCTCATATGCAAAGAAATTTTGAGAGGTTCGATGTTGGGATGTTAGGATGGTGGGCTGTGGATGTGCAGTAGATGCAATGGGAACTTGGAACTTGGGCGTTGCAAAGACGCTGGCGGAACTCAAGTGCACTACCCAGCCGAAAAACTCGTCTCAACTCAACTCAATGAAATGTTTGTCTGTTATATGTACCGTTTCGTTTCGTTTCGGTTCGTCCTTTTTGCCTGGGAGATGGAGGAGATCCTTCTGCTTTTTCTGCTGATTGCCTTACGCTACAACAGGCAATCTATGGGAATAAAGATATGCATATGTGTTCCGTGTGTGTGAGCCATGCATTTTTATGGCACTGCTTTTATTTTTTTTTCTTAGCAGTAGGGGTCTGGGGTGAGGGATAGTATAGAACGCTCTCGAAAAAGCAAAAGTTTTCACTTCAAGTACTTCTTCGCTCTGCTTCTTGGTTTTATTTTCTTTAATTTTTTATTTTTTGGCAATTTTCTGTTGTCGTTGTGGCTGTTGTTGTTGTTGTTGTTGTTGTTGTTGTTGTTATTGCATCATCATTCGCCTGGCAAAAGAGTTTGAGCACTTGAGTAGCATTAAAGCATCAAACGATTGTCTACGGAGCCAAAGGCAATTGACTTCTCCGCTCAACGATACCGGAGAATATGTGCAACGGTTTGGGTTATGTTCGAATGGCGAGGGGTTTGGAGTCCCGGAATCGGTTGCCAAGGTAGCGGGGAAACGGCAGGGATGTACCATCACTGCGAACCTTGGAATACCCTTTAGCAAAGATACAGATAAAGTAAAGATCAGTTTTATCCTTGAATTAGTTTCTGGATAGAAGACAGCTTTGACCTACCACTGTTCCTAAGAAGTGGTTAATATATTCCGCTTTATACCATCGTTCTGAGGCTGATAAGACTAGTTCCATTCTTTACAGGGTATCAAGTAAAGTTGAGTTAACTTATATACCAAATATATATACCAAATCGAATGATATCCACAAATAACCGCGTGCATCTGTTTCGGCGCTGTAATTTCGGCGCTAGAGATTTTGATTGGAAATTTTCGTTTTGCCACTCAGCCGACTTGACCTCAAGCCCATCGAGGACGGGAAACTGATACCCCCTGCCGTGCCCGCGGCCATCAATCAGATTTTCCTGCGTGATGGGGAAAATGAAGTGCCAACGTTTTCGGCAAATGGCCAACAATCCAATCAAATGCGCCAATTCTGCCGTCAGCTGCTCAATTAGTCACACTGAAAGAAAAATATATAAAGAGCGGGCAAGGGGGGGTTAAGTAGTTCTTAGAGTAACTTTAAACTACATTTTAATGCCAAATATATACGAAATAATTCCGCTATTTTTATATGTTTTTTTTTGGGTTAGGAAAAAAGTTAATTTTTGTATAATTTTATATCATTTAGCAAATGCAAGTGTAGGGGAGATGGAGAAGGAGAAGAAGGAGCGGCAACACAAAGCCCTGAAAGTGAATCAAATGATTTCAATAATATTTTTACATATTTTGTGCAATTTATTCTGGCTATAATTTCATCAATGCTGCTGCCCCTCTCCCCCCTCTCTCTCTTCGGACAAAGAGGTCATTGCATTTTCAATTGCGGCATAATCGGACACAAAATGCTACAAAATGTAGCAAATATAATATAATCATTGTGTTTTTTTGTCGTTTTATATATTTTTCGTTTCGCTTAGTTTGGGGTGGCATTGAAATAATTTAAATTATTTTCACATTGCATTGGAAATTATGGGCAAACAATTAAGCGGACAGTTTTTGGCCTTTGCCCGCGGCCAATTGCTGTTTTCTATTAACTCTTTTCGGCCCAAAGGGGCTTAAATAACACACACAAAAACACACACACACACACACAGCCGCATTGTGACATTAAATGGCATTTGAATATTTTTGCGTATTGCGTTCGCGCACGGCAGAAATGCAATTAAAATGTAAAAATTTATTAAGCTACTTTGCCAATTTTCCTAATTACGCGCATTAAAAACAAACACTGAAAAAATGTACATTTTACACAATTTGCGAGTGAGTTTCCCAGAGCAGTCCTGCAGCGGAAAAGTTGACTAAATATTGCAAATTTCATTGTCACACAATTTCGACTGCATACTTTCAGGGGCCGGGCAAAGGAAATGTCGCCTTCTAATGCAATTATGCTAAGCGGAAACTGTTTTCTCATTTTCCACCGGACGAATTCGACAATTACCATTTCTTTTAGTTAGCGAGGTATTTTTCTTACGACGCTTGAGTTTTCTCAGAGATTGGAAAATGGGAGGGGATTATCACAGAGTTCATAAATTTGTAATGGTAAAGAAGATCAAAAGGGAAATGGAAAATTAAATATAAATTCTAACTTAATTTAAGCTATAGAAGAGGGATAATAAACATAAACAAAAACAAAGAACTTGTTTTTCTAAATAACTCTCCAGATTTGTAGACATTTTTCAATTGTCCTGAAATTTGTAGAATATTTCAAAGGGGATTCAGTGGGATTTTTTGGCAGCTATTTCGATGCATTTCCCCATCACCCGAAGCCTTTTGTTATTGACCTCTCCTCTGTTTTCGCGATATTTTCGATTCTCCATTTTCCTTTTTTCCCATTCTCCATACCCCTCGCCAATTTCCATTTCAATTTCGCTTTCCGCCGTTGCCGTTCTCCTTTTTGAGAGCTGTCACCGAACATGATTTATGCACCGCCTCTGCGGGGGCGTGTCACTTCTATTGCTGTCGTTATTTCTCTGGCCGTTGACAGAATCTGCCATTGATCGATGCAATTTGCAATGGATTAATCACGCAAAGAGCCCTGCCGTAATGAAATATTTCTCTCTTTTTTAACAGCATGCAGTTCGGTGAAAGGAGAAAGTTAATGTCCACCCTGCTAATTGGTGGCATTCTGCTTATGGGTCTAGTTCTGGTTCAGGCCGAGGATCCCAGCTCTAAGGATGCCCCTCACATCAGACACAAGCGTGGCATTTTCTGGGACTTCTTCCAGAAGATGGTCATCACCAAGAACCTGATAGTGGATGTGAGTTTTCTTAGCTACTAACTAAGTTCGTTTTCTATTTAAAGCATTATTTTTAGCAATATACAGACACCCGCAATACCCTGAATGATATCTACAACACTGTCAATGAGCAGTTCAGCGACCCAGGACCCGAGAAGCCCACCAGTCGCCCTAGGGTAACGACTGAGAAAACTGTGAGTTTGTAAGATCTATTTTGGAACTAAATCTATAGTGTATATATGTTCTTCTTAACAGTCTTTGAGCGGAGAGGAGAGTGGCAGCAATAGTGAGGAACCCACAACAACGGAGGCCTTCCAGATCTCCCGCTACGAGCTGGGTCGCATCCTGGGCAGGAACTTCCGCGGTCTTCAGAGGTTGGCCATGAATGAGTTTAGCACAGCACTAAATGTAAGTTCTTTTTGGCCATTGGCTTATATTGAAGTAATAATTTATTTTAATATTTCTTAAAAATACTTTCTAGGCCACCAAGTACAACCTCGCCGAGTACAAGTCGGAGGCCGACAAACAGTTTGCCAATAGCTTGGCGGTGGAGAAGAAGAACAAGCTGAAGAGTCTCAAGGGCTGAGCCACGCCCCTTTTTTTCCCAGTGCCTGACAATAGTTATCTCTGTGATAGGCTGATGACTGTACATTTTTTTGCTTATTTATTCCGGCAACTGTATCGAATAAAAAACGGATGTGAGTGCGGTTGGGAAAGTGTCCCCGAACGCATGCGGATTCGTGTCTACGACTATTGTGTGTCAAATTAAAAAGTTTTCTGTCATAATTTTATTGATAAACTTTTAAGTTAAAAAAACGAAAACGAAAACGAAAACGAGCACCGAAAAAGAATGGAAAACAAACACCGAAGCGGAAGAGAGTAACAACAGAAAAAGACAAGGATGAAAATGAAAATGAAAACATTGTAAGACGGAAAAGCTGCTGGGAAAACTAAACACAAGTTGAAGGTCTGCTAAGATCTGCATTTTAGAGGGCTTCTATGGGTATATTTATTATTGTAATAGTGGAAAATAGATAATAAAACATGTAAATTGTAAATTATAAAAAAAGGGTTATGAAATAAAAAACTAATCTACTCAGAAGTGAACTTAAGTTCATTTTCTTACTCAACTAGTTCCATTTTTGTAGGGAAAATGCATAATTTTTATATAGGCAAATCAAAATAAAGACTTTGGGCAGTAAAATTAACTTGTTTTAAGTTTTTATAATATTTTTTAAGTCACGTTTTCCTCTAAATACGCATTCAAAGAGAGCCCTGTATTTCTGACCACTTTTCCCCGCCTCCGATTGCTGCAAGTTTGTGTTGGCTGAAATCGAAGTAAAGTTGCAAACAAATCCAAAAGGCAAAACTTACTAAAATACAAAGACAGTTTTGGGTCTCTGTCTGGCCTCGGCAGGATCTGCCTGCTGGCTGCTCCTCGTCCTGGCAGCCCCTTTGGCCGCCGCATAGTTAGCAGAAACCACTAAAAGTGTCATAATTCGATGCCCATGAGATGGCTGTCTCGAAAGTACGTTGGCCGACAAAACTTTGGCGGTAATGACTGTCGTTCTCGTAGCCCCTGAAAAACCCTCTCTCTCTCTCTCTCTCTCTCTTGTGGTGCAACTGTGCGTATGAGCAACCTGCCTTGTCTGCAAAGTTCTGCCGGGGGAAAACAACGGAAAAGCCAAAAAATACCAGGCGAATGTTTGCCAGCCGGAAACTTATCGAAAGTGGCGTGGAGTTGCAGCTGCAGCTGCCGGGGGGAAATATCTTTCAGATAAACAGATTCCTCTGCACTTTAATATATATATATTCGATATATATATATTCAGGAATTTGATTATCAAGGCGAAGGTATAAAGTGAATGTCCATTGGGGAATTACACATTCGGTTAAAGTTTCTTAATGCCATGGAAATTTGGGATTTATTTTGCTAACCAACTATAACTTTGACTGCCATAACTATTAGTTAGGAGTTGCTACATTTTCTATTATAAATATTTAACTCAGCAGATGGTTATTAAAAATAAATACCTTGAACTATCTGCAGGGTGGGGAAAAACAAGGAAATCTCTAAAATAAACATTTACAGCCGAACTGAAACGAATTTCGAGTGAATAATTTATTACTTCTCGTTTGTATGCAGTGCTATAAAAATATTTTCCTGGTCATTTTCCCTTGAACAGGCTGGCAGTACTTGCCTCGCCATTCCATTGAAAACATTCATTCCCTGCACATTCGGCTGCAATTTGAGCTCAGCCTTCAAAACCCGAAGTGATAATCTGATTTATGTGAAGTGTTTATTTTCGGTGGCAGTTTTTATTTGTTGATTGTGACATGTGAGTCAGTTGGTTTTGTATGCTGATTGCCTTAATTGTTTCGGGTTTCGGCACGGCGACGCATGTGCAATTATGAGTAATTTGCACAATAGAACAATTAGTCTAACAGCCAGACAACCAGACAGACAGCCCCACAACCAGTTCAACTTAAAAAAAAGAGTCAGCGCGGAAGTTTGAAACAAAACAAACGCCTCCTCCTCCTCCAGTTACGTGCTAAAGTTCAGGCATTGTGAGTAATGCCCTCACTTACGTAAGACCCCTGTAAGTAGTCATCAGCGATCTAAACAAGCCGTAATTCGATCAATCGATCGGGAAATCCTACTTGGCAGCCGGCAAATGTCATGACATTCATTCCGAAACATTGACATTGGCACATCCGCACAGCCGCACTCATAAGTGAATAAATAAGTTAGCCAAGCGAAGGCAAGTCGATCAAATAGAGGCTCTACGAAACGTAAACAAGCTTCGAATGGCAAGACAAATGTCAGAAGGTTGGGAAAAGTACTATAACTATACTATATAGATATAGTGAGTACTATCTATAGTAGACACGAAGCGGGAAATACCCTAGGAACAGATTATAGAGGGTTAAGGGGCACAGACTTTACTTTAGATCAGATAATAATATTATAATGAAGTGTTTTGTTTTTGTATGATTAATTAGTCAAATGAATTTTTAAATTTTAAAAGTTACAACTTTCTAAGTCTGATGTGGTAGATGTGTAGTGTAGAAGATTTTCCAGACTTTTCAATGAAATTCAAAAATAAAAAAACATGAGAAAGCTACATAAACTGATCTAAGTTAGATGCTAAGTGAAGATATAAGAATCCAAAATACCTGAATAAAAAGTATTTAAAATGAGGGAGATATATATTTTAGCCATACTTCTTTCTCACTTTAAAATCTCTTTAAAATAACTTCCTGATTCTAAGATAAGATATGCTCACAGATTTATCTTATTCCTACAAATTAAAAACGCATTTATTATCTTATCATTGCATGACACACGTCACTTTTCATGAGATTATTATAATATTTATCTAAATACCAACCTTTTCTTTCACAAAAGAACATGCTAACTCAAAACTGGATCAGTTCAAACTACATATATTATATATTACCGCCAGTGGTTTCCCCCATGAAAGTTCTAATAAATCGCCCATAAATTATAGGCCAGCTAAATAAACGAGCTGTCCGTCATGGTGGCTGATCAGCAGCATCTCGGCTATATAATTTGGATGGGGCTGGAGCGAAGGTTGATGCTGTCGGTTGACAGCCGACGATGTTTGTCTTTATGATCTGCGATGAGTGTTGCTTTCAGTTCTCAGAAATAATTGTTTACATTTCGGCTTTAATTTGAATAATTACGATGCGAATGTAAATCACTTGCGGTTGCCTGTTTATTGCTTTAAAGTCTCTCGACTATTGTTCCTCTGCTTTTCCCGATAATTCTTAATCATTATTTTGCATTAACAAAGAACATTGAACTTTCTATTGTTCGAACTCAACGAATTTGACTCTGAATGTTATCTTCTACTTGTGGTTTCTTGAGCTGATTTAGCTATAGAGAGCTCTCTTTGACCCTACTTCTTAGGTCAAGAGATTTCTCAAGAATTCATTTGCTTTTCAGTTGCCTGTCTGACTTGATAAGCTCCAAACTGATAACCACCGATCCGTGATCCCCGTCTTAACCCCGCTTATCAGCACTCCATTGAGTCGCAAAAACACAGCTCACGAATCCAACATCACTTTTTTTTTTTAGATTTTATTAAAAAAGATCACAAGAAAAAAAAAACAAAGAAGACTTGTGCAACAAAGAGGGAGACTCCAGGCGGATTTTCATCCCTGAAATCATAAGATTCGTTGATTAAAAAACTGAGCTTGGGATTCGGATGTATAGCCAGGCAGACCTTATGGGGCCGGGGTGCTGGGTCCTCCGATGGGGGCCAGAAGGACCTTCTCGGTGGGGGCGTCATAAGCAACCGGCACCTTGGGCGTGGTGGAGAGCTCCTCGGTTAGCTTGTGCTTCAGTTCGTCGTACTTGTGGGCCACGGAGCTGCCGAACTCCTTGGCGCCCTCGCCAATTTTTTCGGCGTACGGCTTGGTGGCCTCAACCACTTCCTTGGCCCCCTGGTTAAACTTGCAGCCCAGGTTCTTGAAGAAGTGGCCAATGTCGCTGTCTTCAGGACTCTTGGTATCGTCACATTCGGCGCGTACTTGGCCAGCGGCCACCAGGAGCACCAATCCGATCAGAGAGCACACCACGAACGATTTCATCTCGACGCTTTCAGCTTGTCAACGCAACTGATCGGTCTGCTGCGATCCGAGGCGTTGCTCTACGATTTCAAATCTCGGTTCCCCCGGTCTCCGTCAACCGGTTCCGTTCTCCCCCTCCGTTGCCAGCCCCACCCCACGACCGTCAAACATCGGGCCTGGGGCCAAATACTCCCCCCCTCACCCGCCCCTGGCTGAATTAAACCCCAAACAAGTTGCGTTCGTGCGCTCGTGAATGCCGCTGTTTGGCGTTCACTCAATGCGAACTGCTCTAGCTTTGTTGTAATAGAAGCTCTAATACACTCTCTAATACACTCTCAAATACACAGCGGGAAATTGGAAAGAAGTTTAGAAATACTTTTATAGGTTTAGCTGATCCGGAGATGTTCTCTTGGGGTTAACTTTCTGGATGTAAAGGTTAGTTTAAGATGAAGAAATATCTACATGAAAAAATGTCAAAAAGGTGTAGAAATTAGCAAGCTAAAATGTCAAATAATGTAAAATTAAATTGAGAAGTTTTTGTTATGAGAAGAAGGGATAAAAAATGCAATTTTGTACACTTAAAAATTTAGTAAAATATTATATTTAATTAGTTAATGTTTCAAGCTAAAGTTTCTAATCAAAAGGAGTCAATGAAATCTTTTTGGTTCTTCAGAAAAAACAAAATAGTTGGAAAAATTCATTTTGGCAGCAATATAAAATCTTTTCAATAGCAAAAAGTATGTAAATAATATCCTTTATAGCGATTAAAAGCTCAATAAGATACTCGTGACCACCTCCCTGAAGATCATTCACCACCAATGAGACTCTTCTGCTGTCTAAATTATTTTATAATAATAAACATTTTCCTCAGTGCAGGCTTAACATTCGACAGACTAACAAACTTTGTTTCTCCGACTATAAAATAATTGTCTTAGTTCGCTGGAATACTAATCTTTAAAGAGCACTTATCATTGAAGAAATCTCAAAACTTGTTTCAATATAAAACTTAATCAAAAAACTCAATCTAAAAGTTAAATATTTTCAAAGAAGCAAATTCCAAAATAAACCCAACTTGCATTATGCACCAACATCAGTCAGATATAAGCACTATAACCATGAATGGGTGTTAATATCTGTTATTAAATAAAAACTGTAATATGTTCTCAGTTAATTTGTATACAAAATTGATGGATAATCACCTAAAATTGTCCAAGTCACGAGGGCTTCATTATTCACTGAGCAATCTAGTTCTCGTTATCAAACACTCAATTTTACCACTTAATCAAATACAATTTGAACTTTTTCTATTTATAAAATTTAAGCACTGATTTAAGTTCACAGAAAAACAATAATTTTATTGCCAATTTTGATTTTTATTTAAACTTCGTTTGGGATCATTTTCACTACAAAAAAAAGCTTAAAAATAAAACTCATTGCACTTTGCAGTTTTAATGGTGCATTCTGAGGGTCATTTTGAGTATTTATTAAATGAATGTTCTTCTTTTTAGAGATTTCTTGATCAATCCTCATCTATTTGGGGGGCACATGGCGGCTTCGCGCGCTTGGGGTACCTCCAATTGTAGCAGCAGCCGCGATGATCCCTGGCAGAGCAACCAAATCCCGACCAAACAATCCCATGGATGATGGGCACTGACAGGGCGGCAATGAGAATGATTATCAGGAGTCCGCAGGTGTTCAGAAGCTGCATCTTCGTCGACGGCTGGCAATTAACAATTGAAGCACATCGAGTGAGATCGGGCCAAAGCACCTCCTGCTGGGTCGGTGAATCACTGGATTCACTGATCCGTTGACACCAAAACCGGCTGGCGAGTTATGCCGGTGTTGCAGGGCTTCAGTTAGCAGGCTGTTTGTTTATTTTTGGCCAATACCCAGTCGCAAGAGGCGAGAAAAGTCCAGAAGAGAAAGTCGGGACAGAATCAGAACTCAACTGAGTCACAAAGAGAAGGAAGCGTCTCATTAAGAACTTAACCCAATTGGCTGGAAGCCCGAACAAGTTTCAGGCTTCCAGTTATGCTAAATTTGAGGCTTTCTTAGTAAACAAGTCATTGTTTACGAATGGACAGAAAGAGTCTACCTAGTCAAAGGCAATCTGAGGAAATAAACAAATTTTGGCCTTTGCAATAAAGCTAAATCGACACCATAAACTAATTTATAGGAAAAATATAGATTAATAAGCTTAATTCTTTCTATATTTTAAGATTAAAAGCTTTTAAAAGTCACTTAAATAAAGTTTAAAAGAAAAAAAATACCAACTTAAGTTAGGAGATGCTCGTTTTTAAGAGCAAGAAATTTTATTAATAAATATAAATATTTTTAAGCATAAAATTGAACTACAGGTTCTACTGATTCTTCTCTGGGATGTAGTCCACCTCATTGGCATGGTCCTCCAGCCAGTCCAACTGCACTGGAGGCGCAGAGGTGGTGAGCTCCTCCTTGAGGTCACTCTGGGAAGAGCTGGAAGCCTCCGTGGTGGAAGATCCCTCAGCGGTAGTTGTGACCTCCGCCTGCTGCTTATCCTTGTTCTTGTCCTTCTCAGAGTTGACCGGCAGGGCAAGCACATTGACCAGCATGTTTATGCGCTGGAAGAGCGATCTGGTGACATCCCTGGCCTTCTCCTCCAAGATCTTGGCCTCCTTCTCGATGTTGGCTATCCAGGGCTTGGCCTTCTCCAGTGTGCACTGCAGGCTGTGGACGAACTTGTTGACCTCACTGGGACTGGGAGTGGTCACTGAATCCGTGTCGGAATCCTCTGCAGACTTGGCCTCAGATCCGCAGACAATAGAAGCTGCCTGCATTTGGCCAAAAGTGGCCAAAAGACAAAGGCTGGCCAAAAAGACAGCAATGGTCAGGGAATTAGTCATCGCGAATGTTTAGCTCGAATCTCGAATATCGTGTATCGCCTTTGAGGCCCCAAACTCGACTGAAACCCGTTTGCAGCCGCAGTCGAAGCCACTTGACCAAGTTCTTGGGTATCTTGTGGCTTTTGGGCTGGGCCTTTGGGTTTCCGAGAGGCGAAGCTTGGCGAGAAAGTCGTCGGGCAACTGAAATGCACTTTTGGGCGAGCGCAAAGAGAGGCCTAGAGAAAGAGAGAGAGAGAGAGAAAGACTGGGAAATGGGAAAGACTGGGAGCAACGAAGAATTCTCCAGAATACAGAAGAGGTAAAATGGGAATAGAGAAAAATTCATGGGTACTCAGGGTAATTGCTAGGGTGACTAATCCATCAAGATGATCTTTTCAGCGGTGTCCAAATTAAACGATAAAATGTATCCAGTTTTAAGGAGAATTTGTAACAGGTATTACTGGATGTTGGTGATTAATCTAAGCTGGAGTGATTAAACAAAAAGCGATTAAATGGTTTCGAAATTGCATTTTATTAATATATAAACTTGGGTAAGCTATGTTGGGAATATATAGTTCATGATGGAATCAAAGGATAGCTATGACTATTAACTATTGTTTGGCTTATTAAATGTATGAAAATAAAATGAAATCTTATAATATGATATGTTGAATACTCAAATAAATGTAGTTTAAATAACATTAAGAGCTAGCAGCTTAGTTGATTAAATAACTCACTTCTTTGATAAGCACTTAAAGTTTACTAAGATTACGAATAATAATATAGATATCTCCTTCCCAAAATCATAAATAACAATTAAGACTTTAAAGCCATCTCTCAATAGCTTCGTAAACCTAGTTAATCTTTAATAGGTTTTTGATTACTTAAGCTCATGAATCACCAAAGAGTCACCGCAGAGAAAAAGAAAGCTAATTTATTCACCAACAAGAAAGACTTCAAAATAAACTAATCAAAAAGGCATTAAACTGTGACGAATAACATCAAAAGACAGAAAGTTCGTTGTCAATACTTTACTTTTCAGGCAAAGAAATGTTCCACAAATAATCCTTTAACCTAATTAATATGTAAAACATAAGCAGACTCTATAAAATTTATAGAACTAAAAGCAACACGAAGAGGTACACAAATAGCTATAGAAATGTACATTTTCCCGCTGGAATTTTCCACAACAAACACTCCACGCTCATGCGTATTTTCACTTTCTATTTTTTATTTACACACAAAAAAAAAATCAATAAAAAAACTTAAGAATTTACGGGAAGAACCCACTACTTCCTCAACTTGCTGCAGTTGCCCAAGGCATCCAGGATGTGGCCATGGCCGCACTGCTGCTCGCCCTTGAGAATGTCCGGATTGATGATCTCCACATTGGCCAGAAAGCCGCGATCCTTGCTCATCTCCTCGGCGGAGTCCTTGGCCAGCTTGTCGCGGAAGTCATCGAAACGGTCCTTGAGACCGCTACCCAGATCCTTGGCCTTCTCGCCCAGCTTCTGGGCACCCTCCTTGATCTCCGTGCCTAGATCCTTGGCCTTCTCACCCAACTTCTTGGCTCCCTCCTTGATGTGACAGCCCACGTTCTTGAAGAAGTCGCGAACCTCGTGCTCCGAACTGCTGCTGCTGCCCGTTATCTCGGATATCTTGTCGGTGACATCGCCAAGTCCCGGTATCTTGTCCTCGCAATCGAAGAGACCCGCCTGGCTCTGCAGGAAGGCTCCAGCGAGCAGGAGGAGGACCACTGATCCTTGCAAGCTATTCATCTTGATATGTTGTAGTATGGGGTTCCTTTGGCTTTATCCACAAAACCAGACTGAACGTTGACTCCACTGAGACTGACCTGGGGCGCCTCGATTCCCACCCATTTTATTCGAATCGCCGTCGCCTTTGTGTGTCACTTGCTTCGCATTTTCTTTAATTCAATTGGCGAACGGCGGCAATCATCGCAATTGTGCTCTGATTTAAGCACAACTCGACAAAGATACACATGAACATGGCTATACAACGATATGGATATGGATATGGCTATGGCTATGGATATAAAGATATAGCTACAGGGCGATGAATCCGTTATGTATCCCTATTCCGCCCTCGATCTCCGCTGCTTGGACTTTGTTTTTCGACATTTCACCTTCCCAATAAATACGCAATGCTTTTTTATCGCTGAGCCGGAAGCTGTGACAAATACGGCATATAAATAGACTATAGACTAAGGAACTATATAGTATACATACTAGGCGAGATGCGTTCAATTGGTATTTACACTCGACTCGGACGCACTGATCTGGAATTGACCCACAATGGCACGAGCTACGGGTGATTATATAACAATTGGCGAGGCCACAAGAATCTCGTTCTCGAAGAATAGCGAATAGTCGAGGGAGAGACCTTATAACTGCTGAAAGCAGTACTACGGAATGGGCTTTGGTTGATATCAGATCTCTGTAGGAAGATGTATTTTGTAAAAAGTAAATACGAAAGTGTTGTGTTTCTTAATCAAAATTATGTAAGTGCCAAAACTAGATCAATGTTGTACAACATAAACCTTATGATCGACCCTCGCAAAACTTTTATCTAGAGAGAGAGCCTCTTGCAGTTCCGCAATTGCCATTTTATTGATCTCCAATTAAAGTAACACATCAAATCGAAATCCCATTTCCGCTCCTCTAACTAAGTCCACATGTTGGGATCGTGACTGCCGATTGAGCCGGCTTCCCATCCGTTAGGAGGGTTATCGTACGTATCTTCGGGGTCGGAGTAATCTACCTGGTCGTTTTGATCCTCGGCATCGTCATCTTCACCATCGTCATCCGTCAATGGGAACTCATCATCTTGTTCCTCCACCACGTCATCCTCTTCCTGGGGTTGGGTATCGGGTATAGCTTCTGGTACTTTCGTCGCTTCGGAATCGAATTCGGAATCTGTAACATTTTCAGGTTCATTTTCCAATTCCGATTCCGGTTCAGGTTCGGTTTCGGCTTCGAGTTCGGGCTCGGGCTCGGGCTCGGTTTCGGAAGATGTATCAGGTATCTCCGTGGTGGTTGTGGTGGTTGTTGTAGTTGTGGTTGTTGTTGTTGAAGTGGTTGAAGGTGCACCTGGAAATATTCAGTTCCATGGTTAAAGTTAAGTCATAGATAGACAATGATTATAATGATCTTACACTCCTCCGCCGTGGGATCGAATTCGCAGCGAATCGCACGTTCCATAGACTCATCCCTTATGGGTTCTGGAGTAGGCTTTGGAGTGGTTCTACGAGTGGTGGTTGTTGTAGTAGGCGCCTGGGTGGTTGTGGTTGTGGGTGGCCTGGTGGGCAAAGTGGGAGCCGCAGGCTTGTTAATCAAATCCCTACCTGAAAAGGGGTAAGAAGTTTATTGTACGTAAGTTAAAACGAAATAATAATAATATATTTTATATTCCTATTAAATCTTACATTCCGAGTGATTTGGATCGAAGTCGCAACGAATTCGCCAGTCAATTTCGTCATCGTCGAGTGGGACGACCACCTTCTTGGGCCGCCGGATATAGTAGACATCCTTGACCTCGATGATCTCCACATCGGGATCATCCGGCGAGATGCGCTTGCGCACGAATCTGTGGTGCACCTTCGACGATGCAGGGCGGGCCTGAAGAATCTCCAGGCAGGAGAATCCCAGGAGAAGAATCAAAAAAAGGGATCTGTACATCGCGTAGTCTGCGGCCAAACTACTTTGGAGCCGCTTCTCTCGCCAGCTTCTCGCTGGGAACCACAACTGTGCGGAAGCTAATCAATTTCGATAACCTTCTGACCTTGGCCACATGACGTTGGATGGCGGGGTTGGTGGTGGAGGAATCGGGGGAATGGCCCTGTTGGGTGTTGCATACTTTCGGACTGCTCCGGTTAATTGCGGCTCACGCCTCGTGACGATGCATCAATGTCCGCATAAATTAAATTCCCTCCACAAACGCGTAACAAATTAGCCGCAAACATAATTTGCCACGAGCTTGGCTAAATGCCCCGCCCCCTATTTCCACCCCACCGCCTTAAAAGAGGTGACTTTCGGGGGGGGAGGGAAAGCGGCGGCAGATGGCGAAAATTGGCAGGGCATTCTGCTGGCTGTTCTATTGGGCATATCGCCATCAACGAGGCGCAGAACGAATTAATAAATAAACAAATGTTGGAACCCCAAGAATATGTAGAGCAAATATTCTGAATAAATATTGATTTAAAATTTGTAGTTCACTAGGAGCTGCTATGTCTAAGATAAGAAGGAAAAACATTAAAAAAAAAATATTCTCTTTTAATATGGAAAGTTTTTTAAACATTCTAAAAAAATCTTCTATAAAGCTTAAAGAAACTATCAAGAAATGGCCTTCCTTTTAGAAGTAATTTTTTGAAAGGTTAAAGTTAAAGCTTTCGTTAAGTTTTGGGACATTTCTTAACCATGTTTCTTATTAAAGTAACTTACTCTTAACAAAAAAAAAGATCTGCAAATGAGGTTTTAATTTGGGAATCAAAGGTTGTAGAATAGCTGAAAGTCATTGGAGATGGAGGTAAATCGAAGGTATAAAGTTATCTGATAAAACGAAGAATTTATTTACTTTTAAAATTGAAAATTTGTCCATCAAAATGAATAAATTTCTGAGTTTAAAACTTCAAATAATACAGTTAAAGAATTTTATAAAATATTATTAAGCTTTGATTTTCAATTTAAATAAGTTTTCATAACTCTGGAAAAAATGTCTTATTATTGGAAAATTATTCATTTATTTTAAAGGCAAATTTCTATATTTTATGAACACAAATTTCTTGCACTTCTTTCTTTCACTTCTCCCTTAAAACTAAATGCCTTTCGGTTTTGTTAATTGCAGTTCTTAAATAAAAATACCTACACTTTTAATGTGATTGTTTAAGTTCTTAAAAAGTCAATCAATGTAAGTTAAGTTTTATGTAAATGTTAATTAGTTCAAGGCGCCATCTCAGCCATTTGATAGTTTAATATCACATTTGTTGTGAGAAACTAGCTAAGCTACTTAAAACTAAACCTGCTTTTCGTTTTGGTGATTAAAGTTATATTATAAAAGTACAAAATATTCAATATTTGATAGCAATCCCCTTGTCATATCCCCCTAGGTAATCGATATGCCCTCGATCGGTTCTCTTGGGTTACAAATTCCCAAGCAGCTGAATCATCCGCAAGTGTCAGGACCTCGCCCAGCGATATGCTCGGCGCGCTGATGAAAAATATGTGAAAAGTCATTTTCCCCACACATATTTTCCCAGTCCTCTTTACTTTCTTTGCGTTGCTTTCTGCCACCTTCTTCTGCTTCTTTTATTTTTTGCCCCTGTTTGTTTGTCATTTTTCAATGGCAAAATGTTGGACGGGAGTCGAGGGGCGTGGTGGTGCAAATTAGCCGAGCAACGGCGGCCACATATGTTTCAGTCATTTCCCAATAACATAACAGAAAAAACTGTGTGTTTTCCTCGGTTTGCAAAGTGGGCGTCTGGCGGGGCGTGGCACGGGATAGATAAACAAAAATGTTGTGAAGAAACACACTGAAAATATTCATACGCTCATAGAGCGGAGAGGCATCATCACTTTGATCAGTGGTCGTTCAGTGGGGACTTAAAAAATATCTGCTAAATATTAATTAGTGACATGTTTTAGGAGATTACGGGGATTGCCGGTGTCAAAGTGAGGGAAATATGTACTTGCTCCTTGGGAAAACATTTTCCTTTGAAGTGGCTTTCCTTTGTTTTCTTAAGATATTGTTATTAACATTTTGATTGATTAGATTTAAATAGCTGATGAACTTAGCTAAACGGGGGATAAGTTACTTCATTACTCGACTTAATTTATTTATAAATAATCAAAGTAACCCCAAGGCCTTAACAGATATCTATTAAAAATCGTAAAACTTTGTAAATAATTTGTAAAATCATGAAACCGATCTGCTAGGGTATTCAAACAGACATATCTTCGGCTGATCTGTTCCGAAAAAGTGCTCGCTGTGAGAGCGTGAAATATGCAAACTGCCAGTGGGTCTTCCCAAGGGGAGTGGAAGGGGGGTCTTTCGTGGGGCGGAGGAGTGGGTGGCATACAGGGCGGGCCTGGGGCAGGGGAGACATTTTTTGGGCCTGCGAGATGCGGCCAAGACGAACAGTTGGCTACGAGGCACGTTGGCGGGCGGAACTCAACGCGATCGCAGCTGATCGCCGATCATAGAAAAGAGCGAGACGGCAGACGTGATTCGGAGCGGGACAGCCAGCTGGGGAGCTATTAAGTGCGAGCGAGATAGATAGATACAGATAGAGAGATATCGCAATATAAATTGTCTGCGGAAAAACTCGCTTTGTTTTCCCTGCTCTGTTTTGGTTTGGCAGGCCATAAAACTAAGTTTTTGTGTGCCATTTTCCTGGGCCTTTATTTTTTGTTCTGTTTTTCTGTGACGGCCCTAAAAAAGTGGCATAGTGTGTCCCACACTCGAGTGTCACCCGGGCCCGCGGGGTGAGCGGGAAAAGTTGGGAAAATTGGGAAATTGGGAAAGCGAACAGGAACGCCACTGGGAGCGGATCAACTATAAATAGCAGAACATAAAAGAGAGAGAGAATACTGAAAAAAAGAAGCCAAAAATAATTGAAGCGTGGGCAGCATTCAAAGGACAGTGAGGCCAGGCTACAGTGAAACTGGGACAAAGAGAATGAAACTGAAAGTCAAAACAAAGAGAACACAAAATAAAGGTCATAAATAAGTTGAAATCTTAAGTTCTTAATCGGAGAGAAAAGCTGTGAGAAAAATAAGAAAAAGAAATCAAAACACTTTTATCGAGTGCCGCCTGTACAGACATAGTTGAGATAAACAATAAATTGGCCAAAGGCCAAAGCAGCAACCAGAAAAAAAAGAGATATAGAAGAAGCAGCAGATCAGCCGTGAATGAAGAAGAAGCAGCAGCAGATAAAGGCAGATCAAACAAGAGAAAAACGGACAACCAACAGGTGGAAGGAAACGGAGACCCAGAAAGATAAATCCCCAACAGAAGGGCACCAAGGAAGACTCCAACGTTAGATCAAAGCTAAAGAGCCATCAGCTGATGAGCTGCAATGTCCCAGGAAGCTGAAGAAGAGGACGAGGCTCTGCAGGAAGAGGAGGAGGAGGAACTGGACCCTTTGGCCAATTTGCTGAGTCTGAAGCTGAAGAAACCCTCCCACTGGAACTGGGAGCTGAGCACCTCCCGCAGCTGCAGTAACATAGCTCTGCCCAGGATTCTCCTTTACGATCACACAGGTAATCTTCTGGTGGATGCCGATGGCCAGAAGGAGGAGACCTTCACATCTCGGGACTCCCAGAGACGACGCAAGCGTTCGGCTACCTCCAATTTGAGTTTGGAGCGCAATTTCCATGGCCTGCGGATAGCCGAGGCCACGCCTACGCCGACGCGCACCGTTACGCCCTCCGAGGCCACGCCCAGCTCGAGCCGGGAAAGTGGGCGGCGGAAAACGCACGGCAGCTGCATTGACTTTAGCACCCACGAACTGCCCAATTGGGAGCCATCAGTTAGTTCCAGGCGATCCAGTTCCCTACGTGGCGTTCGCTTCCAGGAGGCTGAGGACCTGCCTGTCTATCCCACGCCCCCCTCGACATCCACCCTCAACTCATCGAGTTCGGGACCCAGAGAGAAGCGACGCTATCGCCGCTCGCAGAGCTCCATCCTCGAAAGATTCAGCATGTCCAAGGGAAGGCACTCTTCGCCAGAGTTTGCCCAGGAGGAGGAGGTGGTCAAGGCACCGCGCTACTATCTTCGCACCAGCAAGGCGGGCACCCTGGTAATCCGCGAGGAGAGCTTCAGTTCCCAGAAGATGAGACATCGACGCCGTCGTCCACCAAAGCACTCCTCCAGCGAGAACATACTGGAGGAGAGGGATCGGGATAGGAATCAGGAGCAGGAGCAGGAGCCCCAAGCTCCCTCCAGTGTCGTGCAGGCCACGACACGCAGAAGAGCCCAGGAAAGGACTCTATCCACCTCGGAGGACGAAAGAGATCTGCAGCACGAGCCACGCAGGTCCAGGGGCAGGCCCAGGAATCCAAGCCAACGCAGCTGCGGCAAGGATGCGGCTCAGGGTGAGTTGTATTTTGTTTAACATTACAAAACCTATATTTTTGCCCAACTTATACAACATTTACGTACTAGAAACTAAACTTAAAACGTATAACTAATTATTAGTTTCCATCTCCCATTTACAGAGCTAATCACCGTGGATCCCGATAACTGTGTATATCGAGCAGCGCCGGGCGCCACCGCTCGATAGAAGAAAAGCTACCCTATCCCAGGAAGTCCACCCAAGACGTTGAAAATTGGCCTAGGAAAATAGAGAAGAAGCCGCAGTACGAGAACAGACAAAACTAGAGTTCCTCCTTGTGATGTAAGACGATAAAACTCATGAAAATAAAACCAATGTATGAAAATGATTTTAATTTTGTCTAATTTAATGCCACCATCAAAAGTGTGGGAGCCAGCGAGAACTGCAATTTTCAAATTAATTGAGGTAAAAATTGATTCCCTCTGCAATATTAAATGGGTTTCGTGGTGCCAAGAAATATTTCTATCAAACCCATTACGAGCGAGCTCTTACATTGTCACAGTTTGACATTTGTCCCATTTAAATACAGCAAGTTCTTAGTCTACTCTTGCTTAAAACTATTCTAAATAATTTGCCAAAAAGGTCTGTCAACCTTTTCACTCAAATTTATTTTTACCTTACAGTTCGGGTTGAACTGGCTTTCATTAAGAAAAGGGGCCTTAAGGCCAAGTCAGCCAGAATTGCGTTATTTTTAAGGGAAAAGATTCTTTGTCATTTATTTTTATCCAAAAACTTCTTGGTTGGATGAAAGGTTAGTGCTAAGCTTAGTTAATGATCATTTTTATATGTTTTTAGAAGGGAAAGAGATATTTTTTATGAATTAAAAAGTATATTTAACATGTATTTTTAATCTAAGAAATCATATTCCTTCTTATTTTCGATGAATCATAGTTTTAGGTATGATCAATAATATCACCTTAATATGATTCTTAAACCCTTAAGAATACTTGCATTTAAAAGACCTTAAATCACTTATTAAAATTTGTTAACAGTTCAAGAAAGGGCATAAAAGCTTCTACCAGCTATGTCCCCTATCACTCCACAGAGATGAAATATTCAAAACATCCCGAAAGTATGCAACGATAACGGATGCTCAGGCAGATTCGCATAGTTTAGATCTAAGAATCTGGAGTGTCCAGCAGCAGTCGCTCGTGGCTCCAAGTAAACAAGCTAATCAGCCAGTGATAAGCTAGATCGTCGGGCCAGCAGCAAATCAGTGAAAACAGCTCAGTGCGATTGGAACCCTTGGAACGAGATGCGATTCGTACTGTTGTCCGGCGGACTGCTGCTGCTCTTGGTTCTCCTGCTGGGCGCCTCGTGCAACGGGGCCGGCAAGGTGATATATTTTAATCAACTAAATTCCGTACAATCCCTGGAGGCATCAAAAAATAACACCGATGCTTTGGGCAAGGGAATGCTCTTCGATACCAGGGGAAATCGCTGTCGACATGGCTTCGTCCGGGATCATCATGGCCGTTGTCGGAGGGTGAGTGCTCTCCAGATCTAAATTGTATTTATTTAACCCATCTTAATTTGTTTACCTTTTTCAGGTGGTCTAAAAATGGAATCTCCCACTTGGCTAAGTTAATTTTAAATACGTGTTTATTTTAAGTCTGTGCGTCTTCAGAGATTAAAGTGAAAGGCTGAGCGCCTAATCTGTCTACAGATCTTGTAAATACTTTATGACAGATAACTGGAATTAGAGCAGATATTAATTCGTTTGGTTAGCAACCACACTTAGAGTTAAGGGATGTATATTATTTATGATTGATTTAAACATCGATAAAAACGTAAATTTAAATAAAATTTCGTTGAAATATAAAATCAAAATCATTTTTACGACAACTTTGTGAAATTTTCAAACTGAAGCAAGCCAGATCCAAAGGTAAGACGGACTTTGAACCGATTTCCATACCAATTTCATTACTATAACCACCAGGAAGTCGTAGAAACCCCCAGATATATCTACCCTAGTGGACGTTAACCCTTACGCCTCGTCATGAAATCGAAAACTACGTCACATCACGTGTCGCCGGTCACGAAAAGTATGATGAAATACTGGGCCCGTTGGGTTTCTTTCTGCAGATACGTTAGATACCGCAGATACAAGATACAGAAGTACTATACGGAGAACACAAGGCCCGAGAACTCCGGCGTCAAGGAGATAACGCTGAGGCGAGGAACTCTTCTGACTCAGCACGATATTAATATATACGAGCGGTTCGGTTCCTCTGCAAAGACACCTATTCGGTCACATTTTCGGGAAATTTCAGCGGGTGTGCGGAGCGATAAGCAGGGTAAATATATTCCATACGATTTGTGACGTCCCTTGTTCCGTAATTGCCATTGCCATTGAATACTCAATGGGTTGTCGCGTGGTCATCCACCACCCACCCACTCCTGCGAGTCACTTCCAGAAAGCCCCGATGATTGGCCAGAAAACATATTTCTTTTTACACAGAATTTCGCATGGCTCACGTCGCGATCGTTACGAAGCTAAATTATCAGCCTGGATTTTTTTGTCAAAGTTCAGAACTGTCTGAGAGGGAACTTAGTGGGCTGCTATCTGCTCTACATCAGTTGGGCGGTGATTATGGCTAACTCATCGAAAAAAACGGGGAGCCCAAGCCAATTAACCCACGTTCTTACTCAGATCTAAAAATAAGGTTTATCTATTTCGGTGGGCTGGTGTTCAGGAAAGTTTGTTGCTCAATCTCTGGTTGATAGGTTTTTCTCTGCGTTAATCTTAGTCGAAGGCGGGGTTTTTATTTACGAAGATTAGATAGTCAAGGTGTTAAATATTTTATATACCCATCAATATTGTACTTCGTAAGATTTTTTAAATATTTTTTAAAGCTTCAAAAATGTTTATTTTGTAACATTTTTTTTCGGAATATTTTTGAATCTGTTTTTGTATCCTTAAAATTAGTTTTATTCAAGGCAACATTTTCTAATAATATATTTGACCATAAATTCTGTATCACCCAATGAGGTGATGAAAGGCGATATAAAATTTCTGGTAAAATCATAAAAACTTCTGAGAAAAGTGGCGAAAAATTCCCCTTTTCCATCATCCGCCGAAGCCCCTCCTAAGCCTCATAAGAACCAGAGGTTTCACCTTAAAATAAAAAAGCAGGGAGTAAGCCTGGCCACGTCCTATGCAAATGCAATGAACTCAACAATGATGATATTATCGGGTCCGGGTCCGTGGCCGAGTCCGAGTCCGAATCGGAGTCCGGGTTAGGGTACGTGTAGGGGTACCCCCTTCGCCAGCGTGTTTTTAGATACCCGGTAACCAGCCCGCTCGCTCGGCAACCGCTCGACTTCGCATCGGGCGGGAATAGAAATCAGTGCTGGGCCAGCGAAGCACTCAATTACACAGATTGCAAATGGCATGGGGGACAAGATAAGATTTCCCCCCCTGGAACACCCCTCTAAGCCAGAAAACAGGGTGATCTGCAGGCAGCCGGGTGAATGTATGAGTCTATTTGGCCAATGAGGAGCAGGAACACCCTGTTGCCAGTTTATCAAGTCAATGAAAAGACAAGCGGGCAGAGAACTTAAGAAGTGCTACCCCAAACTCGTATAAAATCAGTTAACTGCCGGCACTGGAGCAAGCCACTTGGTTAGCTCAACTTTTTGTTTATCGCGCCCTTCGGAGATAAGAAGATATATCTTCTTCCATTTACAAAAAAAGAGAACGAAAAGATGTCTATGCACCAGCTTCTTTTGTACTCACTCTGCCTGTGGGCCGTGTTCGTGTTTTGTGCCCCAACTCCCAGTGAATCGCGTCGCGTGATCTTCCTCAAACCGAATGGCATCCATCGTGGACAGATTTTGGCCACACATGGCATGGAGAAGTCGTGCCCCAAGTGCCATATGCTGGATCATCGTGGCCATTGCCGGCGCATCATCTCCTACAATGCAGGTGGGTGTTTTGGCTAGCACATCGCCTATCACGTATACGTAATTACGTATACGACGCGTAAACGACTTAGTCACCGCACAAGTGAAAAATACCAGAAAGTGCTAACAACCTATCTCTGTCCCTTGCAGATGGCGTGCGCTGCTGAAAGTGATACGAAGTGAATCCAATCGTCGAACGAATCTCGCACTCTCTCAACCAACTTTATTTATTTAACCTATTTATCTGCCTCGCACGCTATATATAATATTTTAATAATAAAACCCAATCCCTTGCTAAATACGAGTGTTTATTTTGTTTTTGTTTTGGTGGCTGTGAGTCTGAATCAATCATCCTGATAATGAAACACAAAGAAAGCGGCCTGGGAAAAGAGATTTTCGAGGCTTTTTCACATAGTTTTTCACCTCCGCTTTTCCTTATCATTAAAATGTGCATTACGCTGGGGTTTTCTATAATAGCGTAGTTTCTGATATCAGCTGCTCGAGTGGAATCGGAAATATTTGATTTAACAATTATAATGCCGACTTGACGCAAACGCCTGCGGTAGCTATCGGTGGCGGAATCACCTGCCACAGGTGGTTGCCTATGACTCCTTTCTCTACAATTTTTTATATTCCTGTTATCGTTGTCTACTTTTTATTGCATCAGCTGGGTATTTAAATATTTTTTAAACGGTAAGGGGTTGTAAATTAGAGCTCTGGCTAGTTAAGTCATTTTAATCTAATGATCGTAGAAATGCTCAAATTGGTTTATGGCCTAAATTTATTGGTAGAAGATGTACATCAGAGTGGTATGATTTCTTACTTATTTGTATTTTATAATTTCATATGTGTTTTTGAAACTTTTTATGTTAAAAAATAAGAAGTTTAAGTCTTAATTGATTGCCCTTTAGACCGACAATCAATTATTTTTATTAGGATTAATTTTATTAAGAAACTTGTTCCTTTTGAGAATTTAATTTATGAAAATATAAAAATATTTCTTTGTTTTTATTTAATCAACTTGTATTAAAACACAATCAAATTAATTTATTAATAAATTATTTTTAGATATTAATATATGAAAATAAATGAGCTTAATAATAGTACACTTTTGGGAAAAGATTGGAGCTTCTATTTTTGGTGATATTTTAGGATTATTATATAAGGTTGTTTGGTAATAACATTCCGGTTTTTACATTCAAATTTCGTGCTTCGCTTGTGAATTCAAATATAATAGTATCTGGCAATGCTGTATATCGATTGAAAGGTATTTGTATCAGGTATCAGGCATCAAAGGTATTTAAAATGACATAAAGTTTACATGAACTTCCTCGTTACAAAATTCCAATCGATAGAAATGGAGTTCACAGACACAAGCAATTTTGAAATTTCATTTCGCACAGAGAAAAACTGTTGCGGAATCTCGCAGACAGATTATTGCTGTCTTAGGAGATAACAAACTTTCGATATAAACCGCTTAACAGTGGTTTATGCGATTCTGAAGTGGCAATTTTGATACCGAAACACCCAAGCCTTCCGGATGACCAGTGACCGTTGTTGATACGGATAAAATCATGAAAATATGTAGTGGATCGAGATCATCATGTGACTATTAGAAACATCGCAGAGGAGCTGCAACTACGTACGGAAACCGTCCATAGGCATTTAAAGTCGAAAAATTTAACAAAAAAGCTCGATGTATGGGTGCCTAATGAGTTATCCCAAAAAAACCTTTTCGGCCGTGCATCAATCTGCGAATCTTTGTTGCTCCGTAATAAATTCGACTTATTTCTGGATCGGTTAGTCACTGGTGATGAAAAATAGATCACATATGACAACATAAAGCGTAAAAGAACCTGGTCGAAGCACAGAGAGTCGTCTCAAACGGTGGCAAAGCCAGGACTGACGGCTCAGAAGGTGTTGCTGAGTGTATGGTGGGATATCAGAGGAATTATCCATTATGAAGTGTTGCCCTATGGCCAAACCATAAATTCTGACCTCTTCTGTGAATAACTGGATCGATTGAAGATTGCACTTGCCCCATACATCGTTGGTGACGCGTCATAAGCTACGGGATCTTGGTTAGGAAGTGTTAATGCATCCACCTTCTAGTCCGGGCATTGCCCCAAGCGATTACCATCTGTTTTTGGCCATGCAAAGTTTTTTGCCAGTAGGGACAAGGACTTATTTAGGAGAGGCATATACAAGTTACCATCAAATTAGCAGAAAACCATCGAAGGCAACGGTAGATATAGCACTTAAATCGGACAATGCTAACTAACAATAAAGAAACCGGCATGTCATTACCAAACAACCTAATATTATTATATTACTAAACGATAAATCTTTTATATTTTTGTTATTTTGTTAGTCGAAAACCAAGATCAGTTTACATAGATTTATATTTATAATTACATTATTATGATTATTTATTTTATTCATCGAAACTAAGTTAAAATCTGATAACTGCAAGGAATTTAATTGGCAATTAATAGCTGTTTATAAAACTTATTATTTGTAAATCACCAAACTTTCCCTTCCAGAGATAAAATGTATTCCCAAAATAAACTGAAATCGAATTAATTTATGAATAATTTTTAACTTCTTTTGGTCAAGAAAATTCAATAACAAATCACTAAGAAACACTACAGTCAAGTGGCTCGACTAAAAGATACCCGTTACTCTGCTCACTATTTTTAAAATAATAATCTAGATTAAGTGTCTGCCACTTGCTGGCTGTGACGTTATTGCCCAATGCTATGCCTTTTAATCTTAATTTCTTAATAGCTGCTGAAGTAATTGTTTGATTTGAAAAGTTGTTAGTTCTGCAAATAGAAAGTTATCAATGCGAAGAATTTGTTTTCAATTAATAATAACTTAAAATTGCTTAAGAAAATCAAATTCATTCGACATTGTGTAGGTCTTACCTAGATACCCAAACTTTTTTTCCCTATTTTTGTCTTCCAAACCTGGACTGATAGCCAACATGGAAGCCATGTCGATCGATTTCCCTAATCCCCTGTCCATTTAAGGCGAATAAACGGACTTTTACATGCGTCAGAGCAGTCGGCCATCTATCGATCACTCGAATGTGCCAAAACGCTTGACAAGATCGGGAGATACCTATATACCATATGCCAAATAACATATATATATATAGTATTATATCGGGCGGATCGGGAGCCAAGGGCCGCTGGTCAGACATCCGCCAAACTTCGAACCTTTACGTCAGCTTGGGGGAGGGGCCCGCGTCTAATCAGGCATCAGATGTCGCGGCCATCAGTCCGCAGGTGATTCGGCTTCGATTCAGATTCATCAACCGCCTTATCGACGTGTCAGCAGACTCGGAGTTAATTACTGAATGAAATGACGATTTCACAACTGCCGGATTATGGGGTGATGAACATTTTCAAAATAACAATTTAACTCTATAAAATAATTATGAGAAAAGTTTCATCATTTTAATGAAAACTTTATTTTTTAGAGAGTTAACAGTAAGGGAAAACGTTTCAGAGCTTGTAAGCCTTTTGAACCTTTTGTACTTTCATGACGTTAGAGTCCGAAGCCAAGCCCCATCATCGAGGGCACCACAATTGATTTATACAGCAGCACTTTGTTGGCTAAGCTAAGCTTGCTTGTTGGCTTAAGCAACCAGTAGAGTTTCTTAAGCTTGGAACGACAAGTAGCTGCTATTTTCAAAGTATGCTGCCTCCATGTGAGTCGCTTATCCCAAAATGAGGCCTAAGTACTGCGCCTGTGAGGATTGCGGGATGATGTCGTCGTGAAGTTTAACCTCCGGAAGGGACTGCACTCTCAAAGCGAAACAGCAGTGTTTTGATTTCCTTCCATTAATCGCTAATCGCTGTTCCACCTGTTAGTCCATTTGCCGTATGAGTCCACAAATTCCTGGGTGATTCTTGAAGCCTCGATACGGTAAGAGGAGTTGGCTAGGAACGGTGTGTCATCGGCGTAGGTGGCCAGAAGTTTGTTTGGTTCATTCGGACAAGGCAGGTCTGAAACTAGACTAAATTTGTTAAAATAAAAACGACGAAAGAATCAATATAAAATGTCTTTATCTAAGGATCATCTATTTATGACTTCCAAAAATTACTTAATCAACAATGTTATCTATTTTAGTAAAAAGTTTTGTGATTACAATTAATTATTTATTTTGGAATCAATAAAATGATAACCACTTATGTAATTAGCCGTATTGTGTTAATACAGCTTGTAATCTTTAATCAGTTAAATACTATTTAATATTTATTAATAATTAATTAACTATAATTAATTAATTAACTATAGATATCCCAGTATCATAGACCTAATCCTAAAAATCTGTAACTCCCATTCTATCCCAACCCTCCCAATAAAAAAGTTACCCTCCAAGAAATTCAACACGCTCAACATCATCAAAGCCCCAGACACCTCCCTCTCCAAATATAATAAAAACACTACTCCCCCAATCGTTTTCCAACAACTCTTCCACTCCCTCAAATCATCCGATCCTAATCACAACTTCATCTACACAGATGGCCCCAAAGCCAATGGTATAACCACCTATAGCATTACAACAGAGCGCGAAACCATAAAAACAGGCCTCCTACCTATCTTCTCCTCGGTACTATCGAGCAAGATTATAGCCATCCAGGAAGCCATAGGCATCTGCGCTAAACTGCCAGGCAAGCATGCCATCTGAACAGACTCCCTTCCTCAGTTACCGCGATCCTTAACCACGATAACCATTCTCACTATCCTACCCTAGCTCGCAATATGATCACCCAACACTTCCCAAAAATCAAACTTATCTGGATCCCCAGTCACATGGGCATTGCAGGTAACGAAAAAGCTGACTTTGCAGCAAAACATCCTGCCAAATTCCCCTTAACCTACACCCCTAACCTAAGCCCCAGTGATGCATCCCATTTCTTAAAATCTCTCCTACAAAACTAAAACTCTCCTAAAACAAACACAACTGCGTACCTCCGTTTGGTATCAAGAAATACTCAAGTTATCAACGTCTACCCAGCCCCTCAAAAACTCCCTCCTAAACAGAAGAGAACAAACCATCATCACCCGCCTCAGACTAGGACACTCATTCTTAACAAACGCCCACTACCTCGACAGAACAAGGAACAACGTGTGCCCATTATGCAACATCTCCCAGATTGAACCCACCCACATTATTTAATCTCTAAAAGATAGTTTTGGGTGATTTATCCTTTGGCTAATATGAAAGTTAATTCATTGCTTTAGGATCACCAGCCAAAGTCTCTTTTGGTAGAAGGCCTTACATAAGCAATTATACATTTTTACCATCCCTACTCAGTTCTCGAATCTCTTGAGCTAATAGAATGTAAGTTTTCCACTGCTTGATGGCACTTCTACCTCTGCTACCTGTAAACTTGACAAACTTGACAAAGTCAAAAGACCTCGTACTCCGAATTCTACATCGTTCTGGAAAGGAAAGGAAAGGAAAGGCATGGAAAGCACTGCATAATTTCAGGCTGACGAAAGACGGGACTATCCGATCACACCGGATGGGGCGTCACCGATAAGAGGGCTGGTCAGTGATCCACCCGGTGACGAAGTGCCCATCGAACTTAACTCCCGACTTCTGGCGATCTGGGTCGCCGACGCATGACGGTGGAATTTTACTACATCGCCGGGCAGGCACTCGTAAATTCCCCCGCGCTTTCGTCATAGCGAGGATCGAAAATAGCCAGCCAATGGTGGCGGAGTATCGTAGTAGTAGGTGCCGAGTCCAGGGGCAACCCGCAGACAATAGGCGTATGTATATTGTATATGCCCGAGGGCTATGGCTATAGGGGCAATATCTTATCGCGTGCCAACGGAATACCTTTGGGGCTTATCTTATCGATACGCGGGCTGGCGGTCGCCGTCTTTGGCTATCGACGTTGAATATCGGCAGGCACAACACCGGAGAGCAGGCGCAGTCATAAAAGCGACTCCCAAGCGAATCGAACACCCACGAAAAATACAAAAGTCGCGGCAAAAGTCAACGAGATTTAACCGAAGTTCATACCAAAAACGAAACATTATCCATCGAAATGCAAGTCCAACGCCTGCTGATCCTGACCTTTGTGGTGCTGGCCCTGATCTTGGCCCAAAGCCCACGGATAACGGAAGCACGCCGCCTGATCTTCTACAATCCGCATACTCGACCGCTCACCAGCCAGCTCCTCGTGTCCCGGAAAATCGCGAAACCATGTCCCGCCGGCAAGATGAGGGACCATCGGGATCGGTGTCGTCGGGCCGTCATCTTTGGACGCAGCACCTAAAAAGTTCGCTGGCAAAATCTCCATAAATTCTAATCGCAAATATTTTTTTTTTTGACCTAGTCGTAAGCTAACTTATTTTAGTCGTAGTTGCGTCACAATGTGGCCGTCGAAGTATTTATTACATTATTTATTTTGTAGCTGGTAATAATGATAAGTAATAAACTGATGTCGATAAAGATAAAAGCCATGGTGTTGTCTGACTTACACTCAATGTTTGCTTAAACCTATTGTTCCCTCTAAGTTTGCTATGGCCTGAACAGATATTTACTTGGCAAATAGCTGGCCAAGCTGATTGGAATATTTTTTAGATTTTCTAAGTAGAAGAAGTCTACGGAAAGTTACAAGAAAAAGTGTTTAATTTCAATGGAAATGAGCAAGAAATGTTAATTAGTTATAAAAAGTGGTTTATCTGAGTAATATTTGAAGTGTTCTTAGAAGTAACTGTTACCAACTGTGGTTTTTGATGATCAGGAACTTCGTGTGTGACCTAAATATTATCAAAAAAAGATTTGTAATTCCGTTTTGCTACGTCAAAGAAGGGCCATAAAAGCCTTAAGTGACTGTCATAGTTAAAGGCGAATTCCACAGATGACTGGTCAGTTTCCTGTAAAATTTCTTTAAGCTCAATGATTCACTTAGAAGGCAGTCGAGGAATTCAATTCAACTTAGTAACAACGAGGAGTAAGTGAAAAGTAAAGTAAAAGAAGTTCCAGCAGTTCTACTTCTTCACAAAGAAGACCTAAGATCTGTTAAGATGAGAGTTTGTAAGTGAAAGAGAGAAAGGAATGCTCTTGGAATTACCGAACTCCTTGCTAGCCACCCTCATCATCATCATTTTAAGCCTTTTGGTGTCATGGGCAAACAGTTTAATCTTGGCACAAATCGAGATTGCAGGCGATAGGCTGTGCTGGACATGTTTAGCAAATTGCACGCCGGAAACCAGTGACGTCAGTGATATGACGACCCGCAGGCCAGACCAATAGAAAGAGTGAGAAAGCGTCCAATGGGGGAAATCCCTCAGGTAACTCCTCACCTTTTGTCATACGCACTGTTGCCAATAGGCAGCCTATTCTTGACTGTCAATAACATTGTCTGTGCAGTTAGAAGGGGATTAATGACGTTTTCCACAAAATGGGATTTTTGTTTGCCTCTGCAGGGGGTCTTAGTTTATGACAAAGTCAATCAAGAAATATTTTTAAAGGTCGTTAATGTTATTTAATTTAAAATAAAGATTAAAGAGAATAAATAAATGCATTTTGTATGAAAAAAAATCAAATAAATATTATATATATTTCAAAAAATTGTTTTAATTTCATTTATGGTCAGAATATGATCTTTGCTTTGAGTTATGGAAGCCCATGAAAGCCACCTAAACGCGATTCGCCCGAATGGTGGTCTCAATCCAGTCCATGAAGCTGCTGACCCGAGTATAGACTCCGGAAAACTGCGTCTTGCCGCACTGTTCCCGCCCAATGGAGACCACTCCGGCCAGATAGACATACCGATTGCCGCCCGGCGTACTGGCCTCTACGGTCAGTGGTCCGCCGGAGTCGCCGCTGCAGGAATCCACACCGATCTCACCGCCGGCGCACATTTGACTATCGGCGAGCGTGAGGTTAGTGTCCTTATAGAAGACCTCCTGGCACTCGTCCTGGGGCTGAATGTGCAGCATGGCCATTCGCTTTATCTTGCTGCTGCCGCTGGATTCCGTCATGCCCCAGCCGGATACATCGGCGGCTGAGCCCGCCAGCTGATTGGCATTGATGCCCCTCTGCGGAGGCAAGCAGACGGGCTCCAGGTACTTCATTTGCAGCCAATTCACCGGACGCGACAAGCGGAGCAAGGCAATGTCGTTCCTATAGTTCTTATCCGAGTACTGCGGATGCGGCAATATCCGATCGATGGTCACCCGTATGTGCGGCGGAGCACATTCCCGTACGCCACTCAGGTTGACCTCGCAGTCCGGATCGGTGTCCCGGTTCCATTCTCCTAGAATGGCAGCTGTGAGATTTCTACCGAACGCTTCGATGCAGTGGGCAGCCGTTATCAGCCATCTTTGGGCTATGAAGGATGCTCCGCAGGCGTAGTCTTTGCCCCCACCCACCATGTCGTACTCCAGCAGGGTGGTCCACGGGAACTCAAAGAGTCCGGTGTGTTGACCTCCAACTACTCGGAACGAAAAGGCCGATCCGCAGTACGGATGCTGTGGTAGCTGATCGATCCCGCTGGGTGGGCGAGGCGTGGTGCGGGCCAACAGCCTCAGCGGAGTGGAGCTGCTGATGCCTTGGGGGGTGTTCACTGAGCCGCTATTGGTGGTTACGTTACCCATCCTGGGACTCAATGGCGGGATAATGTTCGTCTCGCGGGGACAGCAAACCTAAGAGGGAGAGGAAGGGTTAGGTGAAAGATATAGACAGAAAGTCAATATTAAGACATCCAGAACTTCCCGATTTTGTGGCGACTTTAAAAAGCATCTTAAATGTTTGCATTGCCAGTAAGACGTAAATAAACTTAAGCGCTAGTAAGTGATTAGTTAGTTACGATGCTAATAAGCAACATTAGATGGATGAAGAAGATCTCCGTGGAGCGCGAAAACTGGTTAAAGGTGGGAAACGTGTTTGCTGGGCTTCCACACGTAAACATCGGGGGATATATAATATATATACTATATACTATATAGTATATTTACTTACCAGATTGGGTCGCTGGCGGGAGAAACACTGCTGTTTGCTGGCCAAGTCCGTTAGCTTGTCCACGGCGAAGAAGTCGCAGTCCTTCTTCTCGATGCAGGTCCCCCTGCCGAACTCCACAGAATTGCAGTTGCCAAAATGCATGATGGCTTCTGCAGAAAGAAGAAAGTTTTTATTTTTTATAACTTATTAGCTAGTTAGAGCGGTTAACTTACTGCCAAACTGCTGGGCCTGGGCCCCCAGAAGGGCCAACAAAAGTGGCACTAGAGGCACTAGCATTTTCTGAGATTTTTCCCGATTTTCCAATTTACTACCAAGCTAAACCTATTTTCCGCTCCGTTTGATTCTCGAGTCGCTGGCGAAGCTGCGTCCCCGGTGGCTGGCAATCAACTACTGATCTCTGGCGATCGACAACCTCGCACCGCGACCCTCGGAAGCTTTGAATCTCGGAGATTGGCTTTTCCATTCCCGCGGTTGCATTGATTAGCAGCCAGATCGATTCTCATTGATTGCGGCTGAGGCGGGAAAACCCGTTGCCGCCTTCCAGTCGCTCTTTCAACCAGCTAGCCAGCTAGCCAGCCACAAAATAGTATAATAATATTATACCCGTAATAGCTCGCCTACGTGTGGCATTTAATTCCACTTGTTTTCGTTGCGATTTTTGCAGTTATCAGGTCGTAAAGCTGGGAAAGTGCGACCGATCGCTCTGGGAGAGCGAACGATTCTCTTTGGGAAATATTTTTTATAAATAAATGCAACACCATCGCCCGATAAGGAGGCTACATAAAAGTATTTCAAGAACGAAATCAAACAAAGATTATACATTTTTTCAAATATTTCTTCTTAATTGTTATCAATGCTAATCTGTTATTGAGTTTCCACTGCTGTTTTTATGCAAATAAACTAAAAGTTACTGCGATTTGTTAGAGGAAACTGTTTAGCATATTTGAATTTGATTTATTTATAGTTTCTTGATTTATTTAAAGATGCGCTTCTTTTATTCCATTTTGATTTATTATTTCCTTGAACAGAAATAGAGGCTTGTGATCAGGTTTGATTCGCTGAGAGCTCCCTGGGAATCTCTTATTCTGGTTTTCCCACTTTTCCGACATCTTACCCCCGAAGAGTTCGGACGAAAACCCGATGTGGATGCAAAACCCAGACGGAGAGAATCAGTATTGATAATCATATATTATCCATTATCAAAATGGTTAATTAATGTTTACCCTTGCGGCTTCCAGTCACACAGTGGAAGATTACTTTTGACTGCCACTGTTTAGACTTTCGTTTTTCGCTGAGAGCAAATATTCATGTAACCAGCGAATCGTAAGCCGAAATAAATTCACAAAAATGTATTTTTATATATTTATTTATATAAATATATATTCAAAGTCCAACTCTGGACTATCTCCCGCTTCCCCCCATTAGTTTTCCCGCTTCCCCCCTTAGTTTTCCCGCTTCCCCCTAAGGCCCCGCAGCGAAATCTACGAAAATGTCACAGCAGAAACCGCACGCAGCACAAAAGTTGCAACTTTTTGCCCAGTGGGCGTGGCAGATGGCGGCTTCTCCTCCAGCTTCTTCTTCGCCCAACAAGCTGTGCTCTATTAGAATCTTCTTTTTGTGTGCTGCCTTTTGCATAAATGCAAAATATTCAAGGCTCAAACTGTGCCAGCTATGAAAATCTGTCTGGGAAAAGTGGGCAATGCGGGGGTAGGGGTGGGAAATAGGGAAAACCGGGGCGATATGTCCGCACGCAGGATGCGAAATTTGAAATGTTGCAGCTGCATGGTCAACAGCAACAGCAATAATTGAAAAAGTCTCAGGGAAACGCCTGTGTGTTACCTCTTGAAAGATAGGAAAAGTCTCTTCGAAATGTCTTTCTAATATAGTTTTCTCTTTATATATCAGTTTATAAGGTAAATATTACTTTACTTTTCTTGACCATTTTATAGATTTTAGAAATAATAAAAATTTATTAATGAACTTTAAGTTTTCCCTCACTGATGACCTAAAAAGATAAACCATTTCTGGCTGACATTTCCTGCTAATATTTAGCCAGATTAATTTCATATTTATTGGCCAGGTTTCGTAACCCACGGCCGTATTCCATGGGATCCTTCCACTTGATTGCAGTTGCCAATTTCCAGGCCACAACTCGAAACGGAAGTTTTCCTGCCCAACGAGATGCGTCTGTGCCTTGGCTTTTCTTTCCTGTGAACTGTTTTGTAGTCCTCGTCTTTTATTATTATTTTTTCACAGCACGCAAAACTTTGTCCAGAGTTGTGACTTAAAAGTGGGCGGTCGATGGGCGGGTTGGCTTCATTGGGCACTACGTGAAATGCGGGTGGGGCGTGTGGCAGGTTGAAGGAGGGAAGAAAGTAGAGGCAGGAAGCCAAACTTGAGGCAGAGCAGAAGTATCTGTTGCAATGTCACCGACTTGAAATGGCCAAAAGCAGCGGGTCCTAGAGGAAGGGGGCGGGGCAGCTGGTAAACGATAATGAATAATGTTGCTGGCGATAATGTTGCCGCCTCCGTCAGCAACATGAAACTATTCGAGTAGCTAAGGGATGGCAAAGTGAGTCACTAAGTAAAGGCTTAGAGTATCGGAAAAAGATTGAATAAGCTTAAAAAAGGGTATAAAAACTTAATGTTCTAAAGATATATGCTTTAAGTTGTCAAGTTGCCTTAAAAATTAAACGATTTTGCATCTTTATTCTTCAAGTAATGTGATTTTCTGAGATAAATTGCAATCCAAAAGGCCAGTTTTCTGCCAATAACTTGGGTAATATCATAGTACTCAGTATTCCAGGAAATATTATTAATTTTCTATGTTAGTTTATAATTCTAAATCATAATTTGATAACCCACAAAGACAGTTAACAAGGATCAACAGTGTCAAAAACTGATGAAATATAGTTTTTGGGAAAACCATTTCACCTCTCAGAAACTTCTGGAAAAAACGGCCACCACTAGAGGTTCTCCACTGCGGAACCCTAACCCTTGCGGGCCAAAGTTCAAGAGAATACTGATAACATTTCAGTGGAATAATTTCAGATACAATGACTGTCACTTGGCCAGACACCCGCACCTCTGCACCGCCATCCTGGCCAGCTGCCCAGAAAACCCCTTCTCGACTTTGGACTTTCGGCATTGATTCATGGCCGGGCAGCGTGCTTATGAATAACCATTCAGCAATGTCCCCCCCCCCTGCAGCTCACCGTGCAAAGTTTTTTTAATTGAAAACTCAAGTCGTCATCGTTGGGTGGGGGAATGCCACAAAGGGGGGCAGCACTTTTATCACCGCATAAACAAAAATCGAACAAAACGCGCAAAATGCGAAAGTAAATAGAATAAAATAAGAATGCGAAAAGTAAATAAATAAAAGTTTCCAATTCACTTGAAATCAACGTGTAATATTTATGCCCCAGTAAGCAGGGGGGCCACCAGCGGGTTAAGCGGGTAGCCTGCTTATTGAATACTTGCTACTTGGGTGGGGGTTAAGGTACGTCTGGGATATGCCCATGTTTAAGGCGAAAAATCGGTGGCAACATAAAGAAATCGCACAAAGGAGCCAGCCGAATGTTTATCGCTCGCTAATCACAAATCGCGAATCGGAAATGCGATTATTTTTGCACAGCCAAGCAGGCACACACACACATGCAGGCATGTAGTAACAGGGAGAGGGTGGGGGAGTCTTTTTTGGGTTGTCAGGCAGAGGGTCACATACATGAGCCGTACTGTACTAAGGATTAGGTACTCCAAAAGGGGGGCTCTTAAGATGCTAGGATGAGTCAGGTTTTACCACGCATTATTATTGCTTTTTTTAAATATTTTTTAAATATTTTTCTTATTTTATTTGTTAAGTTTATATTAAGAATCATTGTTATTGAAAGCTTACTAGCTAAGTTTGTGTAAAAATGTAACCTAAATTTTGTATTTAATTAACTGAACTTATTTTTGGTAGTTTTTTTTGGGTTAATTTTGAAAGTTTATTAATGAATTTTACTATTTTTCATATTTTTAATTTATTAATAATTAATTAAGAAAATTTTAAAATTTTCTATAGAGTGAGTTATTGAATTCTGAAAAATTTTTATTGATTTTTTCGCCATTTTCTAGCTTTTTAAAACATATTAAAATTTAAGCTTATAAATTCAGGATATTTTTTAACATTTTTTCTGGCTGACTTCTTAGTAAATACAGTTGTGAAATGTTTTTTTTAATTATTTTTAACTACTTTTAGGTGCAGATTAATTAGTTTTTGTTTTGTAATCAGAAAACGTTGCCTTATTTTAGTTTAAGGAGCTTTTTTAAGATAATTTACAAACTTTTAAGCACAGAAAAAGAGAGAGAGCTCTTTAGAGAACCGCCCTCTGTTCCAGTTAAAACTCTTTCCAACCTTATAAAAGTAACTAAATTAAGTAAATTTCCGTTTAGTTGCAAATTTCCATATGGCACATATGAAAAGGGCCTCACAACCCCTCCTTCATCGAATCCCCTTGGAAACAACGCCCCTGGCCGCCGTTAAGCAGTTCAAACACGAACGCACACACCGAACATTTCAATTGTCAACAATGTGCTCAAATGTGAATGCATCAGCTACTGAAACCACTTCAGCCCGCTGCTCCTCCCGCACCACTTGCCATTTAAGTGGGTGGATGGGGGGTGGTTTCAGTGGAGAACGGGGGAAAGGGCGAAAGCGGGCAAGGCAGGGACAGGTTAAGCTCTCTTCATGCGCGCATTTTATGTTTGCCTTGTGCATAAAACGCGAATCCCGAAATTGATTTCGCTTCGATTTAAATAGACACGACTCCCCGCTGATTCCGATTCCAGGGGGTAAGTACCACCACCCACCTGGTAAGGAGGTCCTGCATGACGCCAACACACACACACACACATACACGTGGAGACACAAAAGGCAATTGTTAGGGCAAGTAAAAGTAAAAGTGTGCATAAAACGACAGCAGCCGAGGCGAAATAAATAAGCCAAATAAACAAGGCAAAGAAAAAAGAGCCATGGGTTAAGGGGGGAGCTAGCAGGGGGGTTAAGAGGCAGGTTCTTTTCTGGGCTGGGTTGTTGACAATCGAGGCGGAACGCAAAATGTCTCACGGAGCTCATTTAACGGCCTCCCATCCAAGCAAACGATATTTATGTGCTTTCTACGCGTGTGAGTGGGTGTCTTTAGGCTCCCCCTCTCGGGAACCCCTCGAAAGAGCGACGCCTTTGTGCTAGGTGTGCGTGTGTAAAATAATGAGTCATAAAATTAAATTTCACTTTCAGCGCAAACTTCGATTTCGGCCCCATAGGGCTCTTCAGTAATTCTTCTCGAGGCCTGGGATGTTCCCTGGGGAAAAGATCTCCTTAGAGTTTCCTCCTC